GATATTCATGCCATACAAATGCCAGGAAATGAACATCTCCAGTAAGAGACAATCTAACAACGACCCCTTGATAGCCAATGGTGTTACCATCATTGAATCCCCGCTATTAACATCGTTGGGGTTATCATTGACCAGAAATTCAACTGGACTCTCAGACTGGATATAAGAGCAGTCAGACGCTAGTAATACTGCAGTGATTAGCTCACTTCCTGGCTCCCTAAACCCTTTTACCATCTACAAAGCACAAGTCAGGAGTGTGATAGAATACTCCCTACTTGCCTGGATGAGTGCAGCTCCAACAACTCTAAAGAAGCTTGACACCATCCAAGACAAAGCAGCCCAGGTGACTGACCCCACATCCATAAAGATTCACTTCCTGCAACATGGACGCTCAGCAGCGGTGTGTACTATTTACAAGATGCACTGCAGAAATTGACCAAAGATCCTTAGCACCTTCAAAACCCACAACTACTTTCATTTAGAAGGACAAGGGCAGCACATACATGGGAACCATCACCTGCAAGTTCCCAAGCTGCTCATCATCCTGAACTTGGAATCATATCGTTGTTTCTTCACTGTTGCGGGGTCAAAATCCTGGAATTCCCTCCCTAAGGACTTTGTGGGTCAAGCTATAGCATGTGGACTGCAGCAGTTCAAGAAGACAACTCACCACCACTTTCTCGAGGTCAGCTAGGGCCAAAAATAAATGCTGGCCAAACCAGTGGTGTCCACATACTACAAGTGAAAACAATAAGGAAAGGTTGGTCAAGCTATTCTTATATCTGCTGGAGCTTATAACCGTAGGCGATGACTTGACTGAAGCATATTCTAAGTGATCTTTTCAGTATGGATGTGGGACAATATAGAACCGGAGGTCACTGTTATATGTGCAGACTGACATCCACTCACCCAGGGATGCCATTTGTTGTGGGTAAATCGCAAGCTACTTTAATTCGGCTACTTATTAAGACATCCCACAAAGAACAAACAACAATACAGCGCAGGAACAGGCCCTTCAGCTCTCCAAATCTGCACCAAAACATTTTGCCCTTTCATATTAAAACTATCTTCACTTACAGGATCCGTATCCCTCTATTCCCTTCCTATTCATGTATTCGTCCACATGCCTCTTGAAAGCTGCTATTGCGTCTGCTTCCACCACTTCCTCTGGCAACGCATTCCAGACACTCACCACCCTTTGTGTGAAAAACGTGCCTCGCACATCTCTCTTAAACTTCTTCCCTTGCACCTTGAACCTGTGTCTCCTAGTAACTGACCCCTCCATCCTGGGAAAAAGCCTCATATTCAATCTATCTATGCCATTCACAATCTTATAAGCTTCTATCAGGTCACCCCTCAACCTCCTGCATTCCAGTGAAAACATACCCAGTCAATCCAATCTTTCTTCATAGCTAAATTCCCCGATACCAGGCAACATCCTGATAAAAAGGTGCAGGGCTGGATGAACACAGCAGGCCAAGCAGCATCATAGGAGCAGAAAGGCTGACGATAAACCTTTTCTGTACCCTCTCCAAAGCATCCACATCCTTCTGGTAGTGTGGTGACCAGAACTATACGCAATATTCCAAGTGTGGCCTAACTAAAGTCCTGCAGAGCTACAGTATAACTTGCCTATCCTTACACTTAATGCCCCTTCCAATGAAGGCGAGCATGCCATAGACCTTTTTTACTACCTTATCTACCTGTGTTGCCACCTTCAGTGATCTGTGGACCTGCACATCCAGATCTCTCTACACATCAATACCCCTAACGGTTCTACAGTTCACTGTATAATTTGCACCTGTACTTGACTTTCCAAAATGCATCACCTCATATTTGTCCAGATTAAACTCCATATGCCATTTTTCTGCCCATGTCTCCAACTGATCCATATCCTACTGTACCCTCTGACAACTCTCCTCACTATCTGCAACTCTACCAATTTTTGCATTGTTCGCAAACTTACTAATTAGACCAGCAACGGTTTCCACCAAATCATTTATGTAGATCACAAACAGCAGAGGTCCCAGCACAGATTCCCTGTGGAACACTAGTCCCAGTCCTCCATTCCAAAAAGCATTCTTCCACTGCTACCCTCTGTCTCCTATGACTAAGCCAGTTCTGTATCCGTCTTGCCAGCTCACCTGTGATACCAAGTGACTTCTGCCATGAGAGACTGAAGTCCATGCAGATAATGAAATACTGAAATAATAATTTAAACTTTATTGTATGCAGCAACCAACATAAGACTGCTCAATAAAGCCTCGCAACTCAACTTGGCTGTTGCCCAATTAATGGTAGAATTTAGCTATGATTCCAAACATGTCTGACTATGGAAGTGTCTGGGATTCGATCTATGTACAGTGTTGTTCTTTGAAGTTCTGCTACCAAAGATTTTCTCTCTTTCAATTGTGTGATGTGACATTATTGATGATACTTTGGAGTCCTTTCATCCAAAATATTGATTACACTTTTAGAGTGTTTCAGTCTGCAGTTTGTTTCCTTATCAGAAGCAACTCCACTGTTCCTTGTTACATTTGGCCTCGATTGTCTGTTTAAAGACACATTCTGCTATGTAATTAACTCCATTATTTCTTCAGCAGGGCAGTCATTTATCCTTGCAGCATGAGGCATCCAGTTATCAAGCAAGTGACAGAGCGGTTTTGTTTATGTAACCTTGACTCTTTATTTTCCCAGACATGGCTAATTACTTTCAATTCCTGTGTACATTTGTCCGTGTCCGTTGATAGTTTATTCCAGACAAAGTTATCTGATTCCTTCAGGTGTGATAGTTTATCTTTGTTGATTCTTTCAATCTATGAACAGTTATTAAAGTTCTGAAATTTACACTATCACAGGGTCACCCACTTAAGGTGGAGATGAGAAGAACGTTTTTCTTGCAGATGATAGTAAGTCTTTGGAACTCTCTATATATTTTCTTGATAAGCAAGGAGGTGAAAAGGTTATTTGAGTCAGATGGAATATGGAATAATCAGATTAACCTTGACCTTTTTAAATGACTGAGAAACTTTGAGGGATTACAAGGGGTTCCTACTGCTTCTAATTCATATGCACGTATGTAGACAGGTAAAGGAAACTGTTTCACACTTTTACTATAGATTAGTAACATGAGTGGTATTCTCCACTAAGTCCGTCAAGCCAAAAAGATATTCTACCGCACAAATATACTCATGAATTTAAGTTCCAGTGTGATGCCATGTATACAGGCTGTAATCAACTACTAAATGGGAAAAGTATTAACTATAATCAAGCAGCCTAGGGTTGAAAAACTCAGAATATAAGTGCCCAATATTACATGTGATTTCGCAGTTGGACACACCCACTGAATAATCTCAAATGTGTGAAGAATTACACTAACAGGTAATTTAAGATTATCAGTCATCAGGCAATATGCCTCACTTACTCTTACTAGCAGCTACAAATATTCATATGTAGGGAACTGTCCTCTGCAAACAGATCACATCCAGGCATTGTACCTTTACCAATTAAACAAAAGTCTGGGGAACAACTGTTCCTTGGTACATTTTCCATGGCAAAGCTTTGATCAATTAGAATCCACTTGCCAAAAATTAGCACCCTTTCTTGCATGCATGTAAATTAATGTTCCTTTTGAAATTTGGCCTTTTTGCATCTGTGCTGAAGTGTGGATGAATGCAAGGCAAAGGGCTTCAACAGCGTATCTCTTTTTTTCAGCAATGCTCAATGTTAGTACTTTACATATTCCAATTCTCTTTAGGATATAGTGTTATGTAAATATGCAAAGATACTGTTTATGTTCCATTTCTTTTAGAGATGAAGAGTACGTAATATGGTAAGTGGTACATGTTGATTAGTAGCACAGTGTCAAACGGACACTTATTCATTTAGTATATGAATATGCTATAAATTCCATTTTTAGATGTATAGCAGTAAATAAAAATGTACACAAGCTATAAATATATTTAATTTCTGTTCAAGATTCAGTATTGATCAAACAGATGAGTGTATAAGTGGGAAGGATGGCAGGGTGCGTAGTGTGGTAAGTACAAATGTTGGCAGAATGACAAGGGATTGTGGTGGCAGATGGGTACAATGGCAGGGTAGCAGGTCATTAGGGTGGCAGGAGGGTAGGGTTGGGTTGAATGTTGGTAGGATGCTAGGTGCACAGGTTTACAGATGGGCACAGTAATAGGATGGCAGGTAGGTAGGTTGGCAGTGCAGGACAGTAGAATAGCAGGTAGGTGGGAAGATAGATGAGTAGGGTAGCAGATAAGTGAGGTGGGCAAGTGGAGAGATAAGTTGGGGGTAGTCACATTGCTTTGGAGATGATCAGGTCAGGGTATAGTCAGATCAAGGGTTAGTTGGGTGGTGGAAGCTAGTCAGGTCAGGAAGTATAATCGGGTCGGGAGAAATTATGAGAAAATTCAGGCTCTTAAGGATGTAGTTGGGAGAAATCAAGGGATTAGCTGGGTTGGGGTAGAGCATTGGCAGGTTGAGGGGCTAGGTGAGATCAATGATATTGATTGTTTGGGGTGTCAGGAAAGATGCCAATTGTATAGTTAGCAGGAGTTAAGACTAGGATTTTTCTGTCTAACATTTCTTGGGCAACTATCCATGTAAGCGCATTGGATCTGTTCAAAGCATCCAATTCTTAATCAAAGCTAGAAACGTTTTCAGAGGGTCTCAGGATACAAGGGAATTGCCCATTGGAAGCTCAGCACATCAGGACTTTCACAGTGTCCTGATGTGCATTCTGGTGTGTATGCCTGGTCTCCCACAATCTGGAGACTGGAAGATCTGGGCCACATAGAATTTGTATCACAGAAACATGTCATGTGACCCAACATCTCTGCTAGCTTTCATGCTCCACATGAGCTTCCTCTCACATCAGTGCAACTCACCCTAAAAGCCTATTATATCATTTCTGTTATCTTTCATGTATCACAGGAGGCATGCAAAATATCTAAACTGGAAGATTTTCCAAATAGAACTTTGCCTACCTTAAGGTTGTCAGGTAACTCTGTGCGACCAGCATAGCCAGGGTTCATGGTAATGAAGACAGCACAGGATGGTATCAGTGTGATCTCAACCCCTTCAAACATGAATCGATCAACCTGCAAAAACATTCATGACAATGAGCCCTCTTGCTGGGTTGTCAAGATGTGAACAATCATATGCAGCACCTAAACATTTTATATTGTCAAGGTGCTCATATCTAGGTGAAATTGGAATCATTGTACAGAAAACACAAATTCATATTTTTTTAATTCATTCACTCGACCAGCATTTATTGCCCATCCTTAACTGAGGTTGAGAAGGTGATGGTGAGTTGTATTCCTGAAACGTTGCAGTCCATGAGGGTAGGTATATCCACAGGGCTGTTAAATAGGGAGTTCTTGGATTTTGACATAAACAACTATGAAGGAACAGCAATACGGCAAGTTAGGATGGTTTGGGGCTTTGAAGGGAATTGCTGGTAGTTATGCTCAGTGCTTCTGGTGCTCTCGTCCTGGCTGGTAGAAGTTGAACGTTTGGAATGTGCTGTTGATGAAACATTGGTAAGTTCTGTATAGCATCCTATTAGATGGTACACACTGCAACAACTGTGCATCAATAGTAGAGGCAGTGAATGTTGCAAGTGGTGAACGGAGTGCCAGTTGATCACTCCGTCCTGGATAGTAAGAAGTTTCTTGATTACTGTTCGAGCTCCACTCAACCAGGCACGTGAAGGCTATTCCATCACATTCCTGAATTGTGCCTTGTAGATTGTGAACAAACTTTAGGGAGCCGGGGTTAGTTAATTGCTGCAGGGTTCCAAGGCAAGTGATCTGTTCTTGTAGCTACAGTATTTGTATGACTGATCCAGTTCAATTTTGGATCAATGGTAGCCTCTAGGAGGTGCAGAATTCAGTGGTGGTAATTTTATTATGAATCTCATGGAGAGTTGGTTATATTCTGTCTAACTGAGATGGTCATTGCCTAGCACTTGTGTAGGACCAATGTTACTTGCCATGTATCAACCCAACCACTGGAAGTTGTCCAGGTCTTACTGCATATGGACACAGACTAATTCAGCATCTGAGGAGTTGTGAGTGGTGCCGAATTTTGTGCAATCATCAGCAAACATCCCTACTTCTGACCTTAAGATGGATGGGTGTAAGGTACTATCCTGAGAAGCTGCAGCAGTGATGTGCTGGGACTGAGATGACTGACCTCCAACAACCATAATTATCTTCCTTTGTATGACTCAAACCATCGAAGTGTTGTCCAACTGATTCCCATTAACTTTAGACTTGCTAAGACTCGATGCTAAACTAGATCAAATGTTGCCTTGATGTCACTCTCACCTCACTTCTAGAGTTCATCTCATTTAACTATGTTTTTATCAAGTCACTAGAAAGGCCAAGAGCTGAGTGGTGGAACGGAATCTGAGCATCAGTCAGCAGGACATTAGAGACTAATGCTCGTTAGCATTGTTGACGACCCTGTCCATCACTTTCAATCATTTTCATATCAATTCCAGCTGAATCTGACCACAAAGTTATTTTCCATTATACTAGTCATTTATTTATAAACTCTCATGATCAAAATGTTTGTTTCACTACTTTATCACTACCCCTTCCAATGTTAAGGATTTGTTCATCCACATTTTTGTTAAAATTGGTCCATTTGTAGCTATACATACTGTGATAGTGATTTATGACACAGAAAAGAAGCCTTTTGGCCCATCAAGTCTATGTCAGCTCTCTGTGGAGCAATCAGTCAATCCCACTAGCCCATTCAATTCTCACATTAAATGTCTACGCAATTTCCTTTGGATCTCATTGATTGTTTCTGGTTCTGCCACAGTTGTGGGGAACAAATTCCAGACCATAACTATTCACTGCACACAGAGGTTCTTTCTCATATCCCCCTATATCTGTTGCCAAGAATTTAAATCTGTGTCCCCATTGCCAGTACCATCGGCATTTCTTATCTCTCTTGCAGCTCTATCAAATCTCTCATCAATCTCCTTATCTCCATAGAGAACAATATCTGACTAAAAAGATAAAAAGGCAGGGCAAGAGAATAGAATATAGTTCTCTACAATTCTGCAGGAAACCCACTCAGCCTTAAAATGGACCCTGAAGATCTGGAACTTCCCAATAGTGGAGGCACTTTGCAGAAAATGGGACGTCAGAGGATTAGTGAAAGCCAAAGCAAATCAGGATTCAGCAATAGTTCCTCTCTGCTGGCTTCCGTTAAAATACAAATTAAGTTCCAGGAGAATAATTTAAATCCATTAATGAAGAATTAGATAAATCTAAGAAGTAGTTATTACTCTCAGCCAGATGAATCACAGACCTTCAGTCAGACATCATTTGAAGCTAAGGATAATGAGACATGTGCTTGTATGTATGCAAGCTTGTGAGCTATTTATATTGGCTGCCATTTAAGATTTCTACGCCAAGGATTACTGGGACACAAATCCAATTTAGGCAGAGTGCAATGTTCAACTCCAACGTTATTTGATTATGTTGCTCATTATATTTTTATATTGTGTATATAAAATGTGAATCTTGATGTAATCTGAAAGCCTATTACATTACCCACATTACATTTTAGGAGGTATTCTGAAATTTTCATTGTTAAAGTGTGCCTTCCTTTCCTGTTGATTGTTATCCAACATAGTTGTTTCTAATTGTACCAGTTTAGCCAATTTCTTGCATTGTGTTTAATCTATAGATTTTGTGGAAAAGTTTAAGCTGGTTTTGTAATCCTTAGTTTTTAACTGGTCAGAGATAGGAAACCTTAACTTTTTTCAGTCTGTTTTCATTTACATGATACGAAATTTGTCATTCTCACTCTCAATTTTTGTGTTTTTAAACTTCTTTTAGCTATACTTAATATATTTTAAATAATTAAATATAATCAGATATCTGAAAAACATTTGTGGTAAAATTAGTATCTTCATTGTGATATTATTTCTTTAAATACAAGGTTTCTGCTTATGCTTTCACTAAAGACTTCAACAGAATCAAACCTTCTCACTATAGAAAACATTACAGAAAGCTGTCCTTGCATGAAAACAGGTGTAGGAATATAAATGCAATTATTTTGTGAAGAGTCTGACCTTGTGACTTAATAAAAGTCAGACCGTGAAAATCTAATTAAGAGCTCTTTTCTACAGATTTGAAAAATCATGCTTACATCTGAAGAGCTCAATGAACATTTTATTTTCTTGAAATCTACGTGTTATAATTTCAGCAACTAATGTCGAATAAAACAATTTCCTAATTACCAATCTTGTTCCATGATAAAGATCTTGATTAATATTCAGGTTTTAAAAACCATAGAACCCCTCCAGTGTGGAAACAGCCCTTTGGCCCAACAAGTCCACACTGACTCTCAGAGAGCATCCCACCCAGACCCATCCCCCTAATCTACACACCCCTGAACACTACAAGCAATTTAGCATGGCCAATCCACGTAGCCTGCACATCTTTGGACTGTGGGAGGAAACTGGAGCACCTGGAGGAAACCCATGCAGACACAGGGAGAATATGCAAACTCCACACAGTCACCCAAGGGTGGAATCGAACCCGGGTCCCTGGCACTGTGAGCGGTGCTAACCACTGAGCCACCGTGCTGCCCTTTTGCAGCATCTTTTTTTGACTGTTCCTTTATTGAATTACATTTGGTTGGTTGCATGTCAATTGGAGTTAAATTGTGTAGAAAGTCTTGAAAGCATAAATCTTTATCAAATTCTTCAAATGTGGAGTGATGGCTGATGTATTCATTTGATTCACTTGATAGATTTTTTTTAAATTCAAGTTTATTCATTCTTCATTTTAACTTTCAGATAATATCAAATAATTATTTCATCATTTTGCCACACTTCAACTATTTCTCTTATATCATCACCATCCTATTCTTTCTATGCCATCCCCATCCCTTCCATTCTTTCCCTCCCCCAAGTACTTTATGCCTCCAACATGTCTACTGTCCAATAGGTACCATATATCAACAAAACACACTAACATACCTGCTCCTTTAATTAACTAATCAAGACACACCAGACAAATAACAATTAATTAATAATATTATAAACAGATACAAAACATTATTAAAATAAACCTAGTTTCACTTGTATTTTTCAAGCTGGTTTCTGTGATCTGATTATTTTTTGAGGACATCAAAAAATTTCAATTGTTGAAACAACCAGAAAAATCTCACTAATGTATACAGATACAAGTGGAAAGAGTAATTGATAAAGCGTGTACTTCTCATATGCTGTGTTAACACTATTACAATTGTGCAGCTCTTTGCTGAGGCTTTTTCATGCCTGGATAATTGTAGATACAAAGCTAAAAACAAAATATTTTTGTTAAACGCTTCCATCTCCCTGCAATGAATTCAAGCAAATCCATATCCAACAATCAGCTCTGTAAACTTTATTCACATATTGACAGCTGTGACAAATTTAATTTCAGAAGCTGAGACAATGCATAATATTCTAAACCAATCAACAATATTCCAAAAGTTAAATAACAACACAACATCTGAAAAAAACATCAATTCACCCTATCTCCCAATGTTAACAAATCTTAATCCAGATCAGCATCTTTATCAAAACTAGTCTTCATGCCCTTCCCTTCTTCCTCTCCCACAGGCCCAACCAGTCCCCCTCCACTGACACTCTTATCCACTTAACCGAACTCATCCTTACCCTTAACAATTTCTCCTTCAACTCCTCCCATTTTCTACAGACTAAGGGGGTGGCCATGGGAACCCGCATGGGCCCAAGCTATACCTGCCTCTTCATAGGATACGTGGAACAGTCCCTCTTCCGCAGCTACACTGGTCCTATCCCCCACCTTTTCGTCCGCAACCTTGGTGACTGTATCGACGCTGCCTCATGCTCCCATGAGGAGCTTGAACAGTTCATCAACTTTACTAACACCTTACACCCCAACCTCAAGTTCATCTAGACCATCTCTGATACCTCTCTCTCCTTCCTGGACCTCTCTGTCTCCATCTCTGGTGACCACCTCGAAACTGATATCTATTTCAAGCCCACCGTCTCCCACAGCTACCGAGACTACACCTCCTCTCACCCACCTTCCTGCAAGAATACAATCCCCTACTCCTAATTCCTCCACCCCTACCGTGCCTGCTCCCAAGATGCGGTGTTCCACTCCCAAACATCCCAGATGTCCTCTTATTTCAAGGACCGCAACTTCCCCCCTTCAGTGGTCGAAAATGTTCTCGACCGCACCTCTGCCCTCACATCCCCTCCCTGCAACAAAAACAAAGACAGAATCCCCCTTATCCTCATGTATCACCCCACTAACCTCCGGATTCAACGTATTATTCTTCGCCACTTCTGCCACCTGGAATCAGACCCCACAACCAAGGATATATTTCCCTCCCCACCCCTATCTGCCTTCCATAGGGAACGCTCTCTCCGCGACTCCCTCATCCACTCTACACTCCCCACTAGCCCCACCACCCCCGGCATCCTTCCCTGCAACTGCAGGATGTGCTGCACCTGCCCCTACACCTCCCCCGTCACCCCCATTCAAGGACCCAAAAAAAACCTTCCACATCAGACAGATGTTCACCTGCACATCCGTTAATGTGGTCTACTGCTGCTCCCAACGTGGCCTCCTCTACATCAGTGAGACCAAGCGGAGGTTCAGAGACTGCTTTGTAGAGCACCTGTGCCATGTTTCTGACAAACGACAACAACTTCCAATTGCGAACCTCTTCAACTCCTTCCTCCCACTCCCTGGACGACATGTCCATCCTGGGCATCCTCCAGTGTCACAATGACACCACCCGGAAACTGGAGGAGCAGCACCTCATATTCCATCTTGGGAGCCTACAACCCAATGGTCTCAATGTGGACTTTGCTAGTTTCAAAATCTCCCCACCCCTGGCCTCATCCCATGACCAACTCTCCCTCTCATCCCCACCTCCTTGACCTGACACAACCTGTCCGTCTTCTCTCCCACCTATCCGCTCCTCCCACCTCACTAACCAATCCCCACCACTGCCTACCTGCACTCACCTATCACCATCCCACCTACCTTCCTCAGCCCCACCCCTCCTCTCTTTGTTTATTTCAGAGCTCCCTTCCCCCTTCCCATTTCTAAAGAAGAGTCCTGAAACGAAATGTCAGCTTTCCTGCTCCTCTGATGCTGCCTGGCCTGCTGTGTTCCTCCAGCTTCACACTGTGTTATCTCTGACTCCAGCACTGGCAGTTCTTACTCCTTCATTGAATCATACTTGATACCATATTTTGTTGAAACCTATCCACTATCTTTTGAGATATATTGTTCCTGCCAAACAGGGGTGAAAACATTACCTCTACTCTCCTGGTGGAGGTAATAATTGCCGCATAGAAAGATATAGGTCTATCGCAGATTAAGAATACAGAACAAATGTTGAGATAATTAGCTGCAATGGAGCTTCACAATGATTCAACATATTTGAAGGACTAGTATAGGAACCTTACTGGATAGAGGTGGCTTCATACCAAAAGATTTACTTCATACCTAAAAAGGTGAAGTTTTAATTGATGGGCTAAATAAATTAAAACCTAATTTTAATTCCAAGGACATAAACATTTCCATTTTTTCCATATTTTTGAAAACAGGCAATTTGTCTTGTTCCCATTTTTGAAGTTATTTTTGCAAATTATACCCTGTTTTTCTGAATCCTTTCAGTTTGTTTTTAATATTTTTCAAATACATTTAATGTCTTCATTCTAATATTTGTATAAATATAACATATTTGGAATGGTTTACCAATAAAGTTTGTGAATGAATATTTTGTAACATTTCAATGTTTCAAGATTTTCCTGTAATTTGAGTTTGAAATTAATATGAGTATAGTTTTTTTTGTTCTTCACCAGTGTGTGGGCATTGTTGGCTAGGCCAGCAGTTACTGCTCATCCTTAATTCCCCTTGAGGAGGTAGTGTAAGCCACATTCATGAACGACTACAACTCACAAGGTACAGGTACAGTATCAGTGCTATTAGGCTAGGAGTTCCAGGATTTTGACGTAGCAACAGTGAAGAAATGGTGATACAGTTCTAAGTCATGATGCTGTCTGGTTTTGCTATGTTTGCCAATGATAAATGAATAATATCGGCTAAATAACTTTATTAACTACTGGCTTATGTTTATATGCTGTTGTGCAATATCTCATATCCTCTATCTCTGCCCCAATTGCTCTTGACATTTCCATACACCATCAAAATAAACCAATAAGTCTTAAGAAAGAGAGATAGTAGGAACTGCAGATGCTGGAGAATCCGAGACAACAAGGTGCAGAGCTGGATGAACACAACAGGCCAAGCAGCATCATAGGAGCAGAAAGGCTGACGTTTCCGGCCTAGACCCTTCATCAGA